ATCTGTAACTGATGCTCACCACCGTGGAGCAGTGCTTATGGTGTTCCTCGGCTGTTAACCCGAAGAATGAGGGTTTGAACCCGGCCGCAGAGATTGCATTTCGATGGAAAAGTGCAAGAAACCTGCGTACTGTTTGCTGTGAAGGCGTGTTAAAGAGCATCAGTTGGTCGAAACGTATACAGTGCTCTCCACTACGGCGTCCCGCATAAATTCATGTCGTGATCTCGGGACGTAAAGTCGGAGGCATTATTACTTTACGGCTACATCTGCGTGTACCAACGACTCTGTTAGCTCTGAAAACTAAACATTGATTGATTTGTGGGGTTTAACGTCCCAAAACCACTATTTGATTATGAGAGACGCTGTAGTAGAGGGCTCCGGAAATTTTGACCACATGGGGTTCTTTAACGTGCCTGAAAACTAAACAACGAAAGAGCAAATGCTATCCTGAAAATGTTCAGTGCAACGAACGTACATCCTTCAGCGCATTATAATAATTGAGCGAATAGCTTTCTAGCGTCATTCGTATATTGACTTCCCGTAACGTAGTCAATGTCGACGGTTCCTGCGTCGATTAACGTTTGCCCTTTATCTTGAGTACCAATAAACTACATGGCAAACTTCGCTATCCTTCCGCTTGTTCTTTCCACTCTTTATTTCATTAAGGTTGCATGTGTCCCTCCATTCTTCCACTTTGCACCGTTCTTCCACTTTGCAGCACGCTCTCCCAACACAAGCGTGGCGAGCAACAAACATGTCCGTGGCGCTTCGTATTCGTTTTTATTTTCTACGCGTATTCGTCGGTACCGAGGGTGTGAAGTCGGCGGTGGCCGGATATGAATAGGCACGCAGTCTGCCGGCTTGTTTTATGCGACAGGAACTGCGCGAAGCTTGACCGCAGGACTATAACGTGCCGTGTATGGATATACATGCAGACGGCAGTTATGGGAACGCGTTAGTGACCTGCTGCGCGCGTATTGCATGTTTACATACTGACGCATGCCCCAAGCGTTTACGCTTCGGACACGCTTCATCCGGCTGCCTGTGTTTGTAGTTATCTCTGGTGGAACCAGGGGTCGCTGCGCCCGAAATCCTTGGGCACACACGGGGCGGCCGTTCATCGAGGAGTTGTTACTCGCGACATGTTTGTGGTCGGAGAGGTGGTATTTCATTCGCCGCGCTCTCTGTTTCTCCGGATAAATTTATTATCCTCCCGCAGCATACAGCGGACCACATTCGGCGTAGCCCTGCGTTTGAATGCGTCGTAGCTTACGTTTACGTGAAGGACACGTTCTCTTGTGGACGGGGACTCTAAGAACCTGCGAAGAGAAACGGCCTTGCGATGTTTATGACGGCCTTGTGGTGGTGGTTCCATCAAAATCTCCAGAGAGCAGCGAATATACGCTTCTTCTTTGCGTACCGCGAACGAAGACTCCGTTAACTTTGTTCCATCTATTTCTTGTCGTCAGGGTGAGTGAGTGAAGCTGCCAATAGCGAAGATCTGGCTTAATGCTAGGCACCAACATAGGGTAAGCAAATAAAACGCAAAAAAAACCTACAAAACGTGGGCCTCCGGTTAGTGTAAACGATTTGCTTCATGTTACTTTTGCGCATGTGCTGCCAATGAATAAAACCACGTGTACTTTATGCGTGTTCAATGGGCGCTCTGATTGCGAAATGCGGCTTCATGCAAATTAATATGGCACTGTGCGGTTAATCTTAACTTCAATGAATGCCCCACATATAGCAGACGTATCGGGCTGAACCTCTATAATAAATACCTTTTCTTCATGACATTAGGAGGCAAGTGGTCAATACTTACCTCACGCGTGTGCTTACAGTTAATAACAAAAAACAGGAAATGAAATTGGCTTCGTTTTCATCACTGACATATCTGCAGCCAACAACCAGCCGCAATGTATACTCACGTATGGGGAACTGCCGTGCGTTCACGATTTCTTCATACATGGGTTGCATCGCTGCTAAACAAGAAATGAGCAGCGTTGACACACCTACCCTCAGTTCATTGTAATTAATAACATTGATTGATTTGTGGGTTTAACGTCCCAAAACCACCATATGAGTACGAGAGACGCCGTAGTGGAGGGCTCCGGAAATTTCGACTACCTGGGGTTCTTTAACGTGCACCCAAATCTGAGCACACGGGTCTACGACATTTGCGCCTCCATCGGAAATGCAGCCGCCGCAGCCGGGATTTGAACCCGCGACATGCGGGTCAGCAGCCGAGTACCTTAGCCATTAGACCACCGCGGCGGGGCTTGTAATTAATAACAATGATGGATATTATTACTCAGAATAATAAATCACAAAAGGCGTAGGTACAATTATTAAACGTCCAGAAAGGTCTCACCTAACGCTCCACTACGTCCTTAAGCGCTAAGCGAACGTGAATTATGGCATGCATGGTTGCAATTTTCTCAAGGCCTGCTGTTTCTGCTAGCATCGAGAAATAACATTCCGGGCCTATTTTTTACTCACATTTTTTCGGTGGTTATTGGAGCCATAAAGTCAAAAGAGAACGAAAGAAAATAACTGCCAGCAATACCCGAGCGTTTTTCAGTGTAGCACGCCCTGTACAACGCCCGGCGTCGCCAGTTTCGCCAGAACATCAGTCTTCCGCGGCGTGGTTAGGTTGGGACTGCGCGAGCGATACAAATGAAAGCGTTGACGATTTACACGGCGTGGCACCAAGGAAGGGAAATTACTTTCCGCCTGCCGGACGCCCGTGTAATTTGCCAGAGAACGAATGATTTCGCTGGCATATCGCCGCACTGGAAACCACCCATCAACCCTGTGTGTGCGTGCGTGCGCTGACACAGACACCGCACCCATCATAACTGTCTCGAAAACGCTGCTTCCGAATGTCTATCGTAGGCGTCACCGTGTCCATTGCTTGGAAGTGCTGGGAAAAGCAAAGCGGCTTCTCTTTAGTACGTTTAACTCTTTTTTTTTATTTTTTTCCTTTTCATTACCCGACGTTTCGGTCGGTTTCTCTCACACCGGCAATTCGCTGTTGTGAAAGGGCACTTTCAAGGCTTTTTTTATTCGCGGCGCAGGCAAGCCTGCGACGTAAAACGTTGTTTTGTAACGTCACGTGTTTTTATTATTATTATTATTATTATTATTATTATTATTATTATTATTATTATTATTATTATTATTATTATTATTATTATTATTATCGTTGTCGTTGTTGTTGTTGTTGTTGTTGTTGTTGTTGTTGTTGTTGTTGTTGTTGTTGTTGTTGTTGTTGTTGTTGTTGTTGTTGTTGTTGTTGAGAATTGAACGGGAAGAGAGAAAAGGTGATAAGCAAGTAATAATATAGCTTAAATAACAGAACCCGTGCTCCAGGCGAGTACAGCGGTAGAGATCGTCCACGAGCGAGCTTCTCTGTCGCGGTTGACCCGAAGGATTCGCCGCAATGGTTGATCACCTTCTCACAATGTGCTGGCGCGAAAATGCCTCGCGGCCTGTACGTACGCCGAGTGTTACCACTAAAAGCGCCGCCACCGTTCCATTTCAATTGTGATTTGTGACTGGGACCTACCTCTTGTAGGAGAACACACCGCAGAACGATGGGAATCTCGACGCAGTCAACCGTATATGGACTTCACGAATGAGCCCGCGTGTTAATAAGGAGATTAAGAAAAAATCAAAACGATCTGTGAAGTTCTTCTTGCTAGCTCATAGTAGGGCAAGGAAGGAAAAATTGTTGGTGAGAAAAGTAAAAATTGCGTACCAGCGCCCATCTTAAATGAGAAAAGCTATTTGGGCCTGTTGATTGATATGTGGGGTTTAACGTCCGAAAACCACCATATGGTTATGAGAGACGCCGTAGTGGAGGGCTCCGGAAATTTCGACCACCTGGGGTTCTTTAACGTGCACCCAAATCTGAGCACACGGGCCTACAACGTTTCCGCCTCCATCGGAAATGCAGCCGCCGCAGCCGGGATTCGAACCCGCGGCCTGCGGGTTAGCAGCCGAGTACCTTAGCCATCAGACCACCGCGGCGGGGCAATATTTGGGCCTGTAGCCTGGTGTTCTTGCGGCTGCAGCAAAATGCAAACACTATATTAAAACACTTTTCGGTGGTCAGAGAATCCCAAAAGTGTTCGCGACAATGGTCCATGTGTTTCTGTATGCAGTGGCATATTCTTAATAAAACTCGGTTCACAACTTCTAAGGGAACACCTCGGCTAAAATAGAAAATTTATTTAGCTAATTTTCATTGTCATGTTGGTTCCTCCGTTTCTTTTGTGTTCCTATTCATTTATTTATTTACTTATTTGGTTAGTTAGTTAGTTAGTTAGTGAGTTAGTTAGTTAGTTAGTTAGTTAGTTGTTTTCTTTTACGAACGTTACAAAAAATTAGTAGCCAAGCCGTCATTTGTTGTCCTAAATTTTCAGCAGAAACACAGTAAAACAGGAATGTTCGGATTTCACCGGTTTGCCACACACGTGAACGACAGTACTTAAGTTCGTTATAAGAGATCGTAACAAATTGAAAGTTCGTTATTGAAGTCCGTTATAATTGCAGTATTGAAGTTCGTTACAGGAAATCGTAGTGAATCGAAAGTTTTGCGTAAAGTGCGTCGGAGAGGCCGCGATACGACCGCGTAACTACGTATAGGCTCACGACGTATGCTGAAAGAGAAGCGTAATAACAGCATGGTGAAACTCACACAGCCACATAATGCCAACGTCGTGTTCGATTTACGGGCCACATAAACATGTCGTATTTGCTCACTCAATTTACGAGCAGTCGACATTGACCGCCCCCTGTGTATACCACTCGTGCGATTCCTTATCCATCTCATTGGTGCACCGCAAACGCTTTTACTTTCCAACATCGCGAGGGCAATGCTGAGCGCAGTAAAATAATGTCCGTTTGAAGTCAAGTGTTTATGGGCTGATAACGCATTTTCTCTCTTGCCTTTCTGTTTCGTGTTTCCTCACAGGGCTGACGAGCCTAGTGGCAGCCAGGACTCGATTGCTGATGAGATGCTGGATTCCTGCGGCGGATACCGAGGTTGGTGACATCATACCGTTGAAACCTATTGCAAGCAGTCTGCCACGTTTGCCTTTCGTAGAGCGCGCCGCGCAACCAAGATATTTTGTTCTTTATTTGCTAGTGCCACTGAGAGGTGTTGCTGAGAGCTGGTATAAGTTTTTCTAGGGCTGTACTTTTTAAACACGTCAGCACATCGCAACAACTCTTGCTTGGTAAGGATAAGGATCTCTGAAAAAAAAAAGTGCGGTTTTCTCACTATCGTAAATCACTAGTTTGATAAACAGCAACAATAATGCACAGAAGCAGTGAACTATTTTTCACAAGTATGTGTTGTATTCTCACATTTGTTGAGATATAAGCAGATTTACCAGCAGCACACTTTGCTCTAGCATTATGAAACATTCAACTTGTGTCGTACCTTGTTCCCAAAATATCTGTCAACACCAAAAGCACCTGACAGTATACTTTAGCGTGCATATTATGTGCTTTTTAAACTTGAGTTTTTTTTTCATGTGCTTTCTTGCAAAAAAAAAACAAAAAACAGGGAAGAAGCGTATGTCAGAGTACGAATCCAAGTCTGTGATCATCAACGATCGTCGCGAATCCAAGCTCTGCGTTTTCGACGTAAATTTCTCGCACGTTGTTATTAGCCATGATCCATTGGAATCTATATAAACGAATTGCTTATGATATGATAAAGAAAAACATGTTTCACATCGAGTGTGGCTTCGTAATAAGTTTCGTCGCAAGCGTCGTCAACACGCTATAGTGCATGCATGAAACGACGTTCAGCGTAGAGATTTACGTTCGCTTTATGACTGCCGCGGTTGAATGCGCTTGAGAAATGCACGCATAATATCAACGTACCGAGAAGCTGACCATTGAAAGATAAGGCGGGAGTGCTGCTGCACTTTACGCGTTAGGCGGTCGCGTGTTCCAAGGGGAAAGTATTTTAGCGCTGACAGAAGGCCAACGTGACAGGCGCCAACAATTATCGACAAGAAACGTGCTTGCAGGCGGTTTAACAGTCGATGCAAACAAAAGGTTCATGTCCAGTTGAGGTTGGCGGTTACAGAAGAAACAAGAATAGTTCCTAAAACAATATGAATTGAAAAAAAAAAAGAACAGACGAGTGTACCGGTTGCCCCTTGTATAATGCTCTGAGAAGCACGCCGCTATACCTCAGGTTTTCATTCCATCTGGAGTTCAATTCAGAAAGAATGTCATTTTTGTATTTTTATATACTAGTTCTCGGTCTTATTTATATATCACTGACACCGAATCGCATGGGCTTGCTACGCGACACCAAACAAGGCCAATAAAGAAGCAGCTGTAGTCAATCACATGTCTGGGCCTTTTTTTATGTATGTGTCAAGCTGTATTTTTTAAGTGTGCTGACAGTATATGAAAATGTCCTGTAAAATTTCTTATTAAGAACTTATGTTTCCGCGCATCGATTCATGCCAGTACCTGCTTTTTGTGTCTGCGAGTGTGGACTGTGTATGAATGAACGTGTACTTGATTCATTGGCCTTCTGTTGCTGTGATGACATATTAGGCAGGCCATTCCGATGCATTTCTTTCAAAAAAGACTTCGTTAACGCGATGTTCTTCCTCAATACACTGTGTACAACAGTCCCCTTCAATATGCCACCAGCGACCAACCAACAAAGGAGAGAGATAGCTTATGAGTAGGCAGAGAGGTCGGCCAGAGCTTTCACACTTTGGTTTGCTACTCTGCACTGGGGGAAAGAGAAAGGGTATTATGATGATAATGATGACGATGTGGGGAGAAAGAGCTGATGCATTGTACAATAACCGCCTGACACAGTGGTTCTCTGAAAGTCTAGTGTCCAGTGCAGTACGATTAATAAAGCCTATAAAGGTCCTTGCAGAAGCTGTTGACCCTGTCTCATTGGACATTGGGGTCAATAGGCTAGTAGTTGTACTGAGGTTTTCACGTCAATGCCTCTCGACGTCGAAGCCTGTGCACCATCCAAAAAAAAATTCTCTTTTTCTAACGCAGACGAAACTGACGACGCCGTAGCGCGTGCTACGGAAGACGTCGTCATGGAAGGTCGTCTCCTGGATAGCCCCGACTCGGACGTCTGTGCTCCGGGACGGGGCGTGGCAGCCGGCATGTACGGAGCGCCACCGCCCCCGCCAGAAGAGGAGCGGGCCGCAGTCGAAGGCTGCTGCAGTGAAGCGCGACACTCCACGGAAGCCACAGTCTCGGCGGCACTGCTCGAGGGTGCAGGCAGTGACATGGACACCATTCCAGAAGAAGAGACCGGCAGTGAGCTGTTGACCGAGAGCAGCCAGCTGGACAGTGACAGGTCCGAACCGGAGGACTCGTCTGAGTCACCCTTGCCCCGAGACACGCCCGAAGAAGGGTCCGGTGAGTACCCGATTTTTGTCTTGCTCGTCGTACAATAATCGACAGCGCAACGGGTTACGTACGCACCGAAAAAAAAGAAAAGGACGCTGTGCTGAACTAGAGATTATATTTATTTACAAAAAAAGAAAGAACACATGTATATACAAATGAGTCACCAAAACTGTGCGCATGTGTTGCAACACAACGCGCATAGTATGCGCTCAGCACTTCGCAGAGAAAACAGGGTCTGCTTATGTCTTCCTTTTTTGCGAATTGAGGTGCTTGTTTAGCACGCAACCCTTCTATAAAAATTTCTCTAGCACATTGATAGAGTGAACTAATAAACGTTTATGTCTCTGGCACACATAATTCAAAGATAGCTCTGGAAAATGGAGCCAAGCATGCACCCCTGAATAAGTTCATCCTTAACTTCGTTTCTGCACAGGGGTGACTAAAGTATGGCGATTCTTGTAAGTTAGTAGTCAGCGAGCTTCGTGGTCAAACATTTTTGGTGGTTGTAGGCTATATCTAAGAAATAACGCATGCAGACCACATCATCACGTGGCTTCAAGAGTATGGAATGATCAACGCATGCGATGCGCAAGTCAGATATCATCGTTAGACACGTAATCAGCAGAAGAGCCACAATTCACATGACACTCACGCCGACGTCACGGGAATTGACGTCGTAACCAGGTCTTGACACCGAGCGATGAAAAGGTGAGTTCTTTCGCCAATGTTAAACGTGATTGGGAAACTTTATATCTATAACTTATGCGTTTCTCTCCATTCTGAGAACTATATTTATCTTAGCTATTTGCTACAAGCAAGCACCATTGTGCTTTCTAATAAGCAATTGAAATTTCATCATCCCGCCGAAAAACTGCGTCTTCATTTTTTGTGCTACAGAGCAAATTATGCTCCCATGCAGGCGCGAACAGAGAACAGTCTAGACGAAATGAAAGCATGTGAGCATTTCATATTTTCGAACTTCAATTACTTTCAGCGAGTGCATAGTGGGCATAGTATGCTCCTCCGATTACCAAATGAATGGACCCGACTAGGTAGTGTCAAATAAGAGACGGAAACGCACTGTCCGGTGGACGCTGGGTGACCGAGGGTCTTCAGCGCGCTTCCGCTATCATGACAGCCAGAGACAAGACAGATCATCAGACTTGAAAATAGACTGCGCTTATCTAGAAATGCTCTTATGGGGCGTCGTCGCGTACAGGTCACGGTGTTAGCATAGCGGTGATAAGAACAAGAAAGCAAGATATAGAACAGCCGACCCTCGATGTGAGCGTGGAGGTAGGCTACGCCTTTCATCGCTAGCAACAAATGGCCGCAGTTCGCATACGCACTCAGCGACTGCATAGCTCTGGTCCCGCGTGTATATAAATGAGACTATTTTGTTTTTCTTTCGATGCGCCATCTGCTTGAGCACGCGGCCCACACTGTGGCGCCCCCTGCGCGTCGTGCGTGAGCATTCGGGGCTCCCACGGGGCGGAGGCCAAGGCGGCCGCAAGCAGGTGCTCGATATGCAATCTCGCGGACCGCGCAGCGGCCGCTCGTGCTGCCCACAGAGAGAGGCACTCGTGCCTCGCCAGATCCCGGGCCAGATTAGACGGAAGTGGAGCCAGGGCGCATGCGCTGCAGTGCCGTATATGGTCGACCACGATCAAAGTCATTCCATACCAATTTATTTCTCCTTCGTTTACCCCGTACCTACCGACAATGTCGAGCGCACGCATTGCTATAGAGTCATCCGGCTGCATGGGGACAGCGGTATATGTGTGGCATCTCTCCCGAATGCCACTGTATGCGTGCGTTTTTCGTTCTTATAGAGTCGGCCCTCATTCGTTTTCTCCTCATTCCTTTCCTCGTTTTATCTTGTTTTCCTCGGCGCGTTTCTGCGTTATAGGTTGACTCAATTGCCTCACTAGTTCTAGATACGCCGGCACCTCCAACCGCCCCAGTTGTTATTCCGGTACGCCTGCAGCGTGATACAAATCGCTTCGCGTTGGCGTCCTTAACTAGGAGGGAAAATGAAAGCGGAGGACGGTAGTGCAGAGAGCGTTTTAACGGCAGTCTGCGGTTACCTAGGTGTCGTGCATTCCTATATGCCCTAAGCTACGTAATTTACAGAAAGGTAACAGCACTTAGTGATCGTAAGATCTGGGACACCGTATATTACCACAGCTAAGTTTCATTGTTACGTTGACACTATGCCTTTAGATGCTAGAAAAGTTCGATGACTGGGGTCGTTCAGTTTCATCCCATCTTGCACCGTTTACACGTCATTGTTTGTCCTTCGGCAAGACGTAAAAACTGCAGAAATTATGCTCTATAGATGGGTTGAGTGGGACAGAGACAGGCCAAGGGTAAGTTCTTTAGTAGCTCGAAGTCGGTCGTTATGTGATGTTGACTGACTTGTCTCTATACATGAATAAGCTAGTAATACTACTCTAATGAAACAAAAATAATATATATGTAGGTAAAGATATATTATGTTTGTTAAAGATGAGGGTGTCATTGAGAAAACCTGCGACTAGACTTGCGAATCCAACACCCGTGAACATCTTTCTTGCTCACACATTACGGAGTCCTGGTTTTACGTCGACTGCGAAAACTGTGCAATCTGCTCTCACTTCAAATTTCATCGAATTGTGGAAATAGCGGAGAATTCGCGAAGTCAGCACGATTCCCACCTCCATAGACTTCACTGTTGCATTGTACTGGCAGTGCACACCGGCGTGCGACGGGCAGGCAGCTCAAGTGCGAGACCTATAAGATTAGATTTCGAGGCCGTGCTTCTGCATTCTAAGAAATCGCGCGTGCTATGTCCGGAGGGCAGAGATAGAAAACAGGCCGCTTTCCACCTGTTCTTGATAATTTTTATCGCACATTCATGTCTGTTTACATATACGATACATGCGAATGTTAGAAAGGTCAAATGCCAATTGACAAGTGCAGGCATTTCGATCCGTCAGTCTGCCATTGGATATTACTATAGACATTGTTTTAGCAATCTCTCCAACCAGAGTCACAAATAAGCTGGGAAAGGGAGCGCCATAGAAGCAATGACTTTTTAAATGGTTTAGGTGCAAGAAAGAGGACACCGCATGATGTGCAGATCACGCACGTACTGTGAGCTCATCCCCGCGATGCTTCCATTACCTGTTTGAAAGCAACGATGCTGTAGTTTTCACGCATCTCTCCTTCAGCGAACTTAACTGTGCGCCCCCCATGTGCGTTTGGGGACGTGATGTCCTCTTGTTTATTTACGCTGCCGATTGGATGCTACGAGATAATTGAAATGAGTTCCAGAAAATTTACAAGTTACCGAGTTTTCCGGACGTCTACTAGGAAATGCATTGTATATATAGTAAACATTTGCAGTGCTATATTTTTACACCAAAAAGTATCTGTAAACTTTGTATGGTCACTAAGCCTAATAACTACAAAAGTAATGTCCAGTACGCTATTCTCTTTTCAAGTTTCATTATTGCAAATCTAATTGAAATTTCGCGCTGATCCATTCAAATATTCACCCACTGCTGTGCTCAGTGTTCTGGCGATTGGGAACTCTCGAACTCATTTGCGACTTTTAAACATTTTCCTTGATTGTAACTATATTATAACGCGACCGTCACAAAAGCAACCTCCTCAACTAACAGCAATCATAAAAATAAATGCTGCTGTGCTGACAAGTTTATGGTAGCACTTTATAAACTTACGTACGTGTGATTAAATATGAGAAGGGTGCACAGTCAGCTAATTAAAAAAGCCACTTGCTCTAACGCGCATACGAAGGAAAACAAGTTCACGCAGCAAACACTTCTGTTATTCACGTGCAAAATTTTGAAGAGTAATATTTCAGCTAATGAGCCTGTACCTGTAAGTAACGTGTGTCGTTCATCGCATGGTCTGTAAAAACTTAGTTCCTTCACTGTGCGCATGCAAAGCACACAGTGTGAAGAGAGAAATCATCTTTATCAGCCTGACTACGTCCATTGCAGGACAAAGGCCTTTCCCATGTTCCACCAGTTAACTCGGTCCTGTGCTTGTTGCAATGCAAAAAGCAATGCAAAAAAAAAAAATCATGTGTCCCTGCTATTACTGTGAGGCAGTCCGGTCTCTAATTTGCTTCTTATAAGTTCACCCGACAATCTCTTTACGTCCGCTGTTAGAATTCAAGACACCTTAGCGGCCAAGCTTCCAACAATGTCACCGCATGCTGCTATAATTGTAAAGTCTTAGCTCGCTGCTTAAGGCGTTGTTCCCAGGGTTACGCCGGCCACTGCCAACTGGGGTCGATTCCTTCGGCGGCCGTGCTTTATGGGTTACGGCGCGCCAGTATTTCTGGGTCATCAGATAGAATGCCTTAAGTACACGTTCCAAAACGATTTGCCTTTTAGGCATATATAACATGCTAATGGCAGCGCGCGAGCGACATAGCGCTTTAATTAAGCCGTATACTCCCGGTGCCCCTCAGGATCTCTGTCTGAGGGTCGGGCCGCATACAGTGGAGCCACGCAGCGGTCCGATTGTCCATCTGCGTGTAGTATGGCTTCTCACCGGTCATTTATTAAACTGTGGGGCGCGTCGAAGTCTACGCTATTTCTCAGCGATAAGGCTTGCTCGAAATACTGTGTTCGCCTGCCACTTTATCGTCGAGATTCGCCTTCCCTGTAAGGCACCACAGCCGCACGAACAGGTGTGAGCCTAATTACGGCATACGAATGAAGTGCCCTCACTATAATTCTAGTAAGTTATTCATGACTGCTTATAAATGCTCCTTAAAGTCGCAGTGAACGGCGCGTGCGCGGCAGTGTTGTTACCGCCTCCCCAATTTCACAAAGTGTACCATTAGTTTCCATCTACAAGATAAAGCAAACTTTTCGAACGTTATCAATACGCGAGCTACGGTATATAGACGCATGATTGCATCGTCTGGCACTCCCATTTTCCTGGCTGGCAAATAAGGAGCAACTTTTAGTACGGGGTTATAATCTCGAGAA